GGCCATTGCAGCATTAACCTTGATGGGTTGTGACAGTCTCATAACAGCTCAAATTCCCTTCTTCTGAACTCTATAATCTTCTCTTGCTTTGATATCACTAGATGAAGGAGAGACTGGGTTGAAAATGGGTTGTAGATTTGGACCTCAAAGTCCAGTCTAGGGATGAAAAAATAGTCTTGGAGAATTTCTGGACACTGAAGAGAGTTGTTACGAACTTTTCTGCTTGGGATTTCCTATAATTTTACTTAAACGTCTCCAGTAAGGGGAACCAAGATGGGTTAGACATCTGAGAAGAAAGTGCAGGATTTCTCTCATACAGTAGGTATCAAGAACTTGTTCTTGCATCTAGTCTTTGTTATTATCTGTTTGGTGGCTAAGTCTGGCCTGGTAAAAACCTGAGGTAAAAAACCAGATTTTCTAGCTCCTGAATAGCCTAGGTTCTATTCCAAAGCAAACCCCCATGCTCCTCGCTTCCATTTTGGTCTGTAACATAGACTCAGTATAGACGTAAATCCTGATTTTCCGTTCTACATCTTAGTCCTGATGGGAATGCTGCCCTTGCTCTAGGATCCTGATTTGTGAGTTGTTTAACTCCAGTTTTAAAGTTAAATTTCATGAAGGGTGGAATGAACATAAAGTGAAAGATAGATCTGCAATCGGAGAGAAAGTACTAGACAGTCCAATAACATTGCTTCCACATTTGGTCTAGTTCTTCCTAGTCTTCCAATCTTGTATGTGGTCCCTAAATTATTTTTTCTACTAAGCCAAATAGTCCTACAGATTGCTTCCACCCCAATAGCTCCATCAATTTTCAAGTTAAAAATAATGTTATTAAAAGATAACAAAGAAAAACGAATTTCTGCAGGCAACTGTGTTAAGTAGAAAGAAAGAAATAAGCAAGTAATTGAGGAAATAGCAACACCGGTGAATATGAGTGAGGAGACAAGACAGATGATAAACTAGATATGAATTATGTATGTGATCTGTGCCAGTAACATGAGTGACATTTATTTCTGACCAGTTCAACAAGTTAGTGTTAGCAAGAAAGGATCCACAACATAGAGACCATAATAAAAAAGAATGTGAACAAATTTTAAATGAAAAAGATAGTTAAACTGGTCTGCCCAACTTGTGAAAAAATGTGAGGACAATAGGCTGAAGTCATTTTCATAGTTTCAAGTCAAATATTTAAGAAACAGAAAGGAAACAAATAATGTGCTGTTAACTAAGGATAGCAGGAAAAAAATGTATTTTTCAATGAAAGAAAAATAATTGGCTTGGTGACACCAGTCTAGAAAGCAGGAGACCTTACGTTCAAGTCTCACTTTAGCTATGAAAGCCAGTCTGAGTGACTTTGGGCCACTCTCACAGCCCAACTCACTTCACATGGTTATTGTTGTGAGGACTATAGGAGGAGGAAGGTGTGTTGGATATATTTGCTGCCTTGAGTTGTTTATAAAAATAATAAAGGTGGAATATAAATAAGTAAATAAATAAAGGTTTAAAATGCAACATCCTGCCTCTTAACCTTGAAGTTTCATTAAGTTTTGCAATCCAGGAATAGATCTTAACTTGCCTTTCTCTCATGGAACCTAATTAAAATTTGTAGAATATCATTTTCTTACCAGTTAGAGCACTCTATATATTACCTCAAACTTCTTTCTGGAACTGGAAAAGATTGAGAGTAATGGCAAACTCTGTTCTCTCCTCTAATACTTTACTGCAGTCCAAACTTTCTAATATTTTCTCTGCTTGAGGGAGCTGCCCTGAATCTTCAGAACCAGGAAAAGGTTCACCAACCTAAAGGGCAAGTTACATTGATAATACTAACTCCTTTCTCCAATTTTAGTAGAGCAGTTAATATTGCAATTCAGTTCTGTACCAAAGGATACAACCACTCTAATTTCCTCAAGCTGTAGTAATCCTCTGCTCAAAGTAAACACTGCCAGTAGTCACAAACAGTTCTACAAACTACTCCATTCAACCGTTGAAGAGATATTCTGCACCCTCGATAATATAGGTTACAAATGAAGTGAAGTTATCATTGGACAGATGCAGAAAAAGAAATAGAATATAGCTGCTAGATAAGCTTAAAAACTGATGGGTATAATTCTATATTATGTGGAGGTCCTGAGAGATTAGCACAACCACACCAGAGGTGGGTTTCAGCAGGTTCTGACCAGTTCTGGAGAACCGGTAGTGGAAATTTTGAGTAATTCAGAGAACCGATAGTAAAAATTCTGACTGGCCCCGCCCCCATCTATTCTCTGCCTCCCAAGTGCCAGCTGATCGAGAGGAAATGGGGATTTTGCAGTAACCTTCCCCTGGAGTGGGGACAAAATGGAGATTTTACAGTATCCTTCCCCTGCCACGCCCACCAAGCCACACCCACCAAGCCACACCCACAGAACCATTAGTAAAAATTTTGAAACCCACCACTGAACCACACCAATTGATTGTGTTGTGTTTGTTACTAAGAAAGAAGTGCTGCAATGCTAGCCTGCATTGGTCCTTCAGAGTAGACCGTTCTGTGCAAATGTCACCAGCAGAGGTCCATTCAGGGTGTTAATCTTTGGCGGACTAATGCCAGTGAGTATTTTCAGGCTGCTTTTGGAGGCTTTGATATTTCCAGAAACTATGGAGTCTCCTCTCTCTTCAGAGGCTGTGCAGCATCCCCTCCACCAAGTTCAGCGGACACAGGAGGTTAAAGCCCATGACCTCAAGGAGGCCTTGGATCAAGTTGAAAGTAAGGCCTGAAGGTTGCATCATCAGACCTGCAGGCCAAGTCATGGGATCACCTGAGTCTCAGTTCCCTAGTGATGACTCTGTGGCATGTCTGAAAATAAGCCCATTGCGTCTGAATAAAAACAAGAAGGTGACACAAAGAGATCCTTACATGGAGCCTCCTAAATTCAAATGGAAAAGATAGAGCTGTTCAAGTACATCCCGGTATCATTTTGCAGAGACAAATATATTTTGAACAAACCCACCCATGTGACCCCAAAGCGATCCTTTCATGGAGCCTCCTGAAGTCAAGAGAAAGGTCCCTGGAGGAAGAATGGAGATAGACACCTCCCAGAACAGCGCCTCATCATGACGATGATGCCGAGAACTTTTCATATTAATTTTATATTTATATTGTTTAATTCCTCAACCAGTGGCAATTTCCAAAACCAGTGTTTTGGATTACAACTCCCATCACCACCCTAACCAGTTGTGATCATACACGAGGGAGCTCCTAATAGGATCATGACTCAATACATTTGAAGGATACTGTGTTGAGAAAGGCTAAATGTAGCATCTTGAACATGAAAGCGTAAAAAAAATAAACCGTCAATACTCTTTTTCTTAAAATCTAAGATACTCAAAACAAATGGGATCAAACAGGATTTTTTAAAAACTTACAAAAGCAGTCAATATGTTACGTTAAGAAAATTCTTGCTTAAACTTCTTTACATAGTGGAAAGTTTGAACAGTAATTCAATCATGGAAATAAAATGGTTGATTTTTTTCCCCCCATGGTCAGTTTTGTTAATATATAAGTATTTCCAAAGGTTTTTGCCAGGATATCTGCTGAATAAGTGTTTCTCATCTTTAGCTGGGGGTGAGGAATTCTAAGAGTTGAAGTTCCTATTTTTTTAAAAGCTGCCAATGGTGAGAAACACTGGTTTGGATTGCAGAAGATCTAAACTGCAACTGGTATCAGTATTAATATTATCATTATAATAAGCAATGTGCCTGGCACTTCAGGGAAGTTACCCTTCAGGTATGACTGAATGTTAATACCCAGAAGATACCCAGTCAATATGGGCAGCAATGAGGAATGCTGAACTTTGTTGTTCAATAACATTTGCAGGGCCAAAGTTTCCCAACATGCATTTCATAGATGACAAGGGATGAGCAACCTAACTCAGAGACACAGCCAAAACAAGCGCATAGTGCAATCTCTTTCAATGCCTGCCTTAAAATCCATATACTATATTCTCTGACAGCTTTGCATAATCTCCATACCAAAAAGTGGAGAACAGTCATTTTCGTTACTTTGACATTTCTTTTTAATACCAAGAAATGGTATTAATTACCGCTTCTGGCCATTTCATCTATTTTTTTCCCCTGGCATCTACTTTACAACACTGTATCTAAATCTTGGTTTATTGCGGTAGAAATAGGACCCCAAGCACATTTCTTTGTAATGTGGAGAGGGCACTCCACATAATAGAGTGACCTGCTCTCATAAGTTTTTAAAATGCTATAATTGTTAAACCAAGTATTAACTGATCAATAACCAAGTGTAAATTGGTCATCTGCAAGTCTCAGGCTGCAGTCATGGCAAACAAGCGGCACACTGACTTGAGAGCATCTTGAGCTAAATTCAGAATTCACGCTGTGGCGCTATAAAAAGAGCTCTAGCTTCCCTTATATGTATCCTAAACTCCCAGCTACGGTACTCCAAAGCACCCGATCCTCTCCTACACACCTATTTTATCCTGGCAAAAATCCTGTAAAGTAACTTAGGCTGAGAGTAACAGAGCCTGGAGTAGCTTCCTCCTAGAATGGGGAATATAATCTGAACCTTCCCATGTATGGTCAGACACCACAGGACTGCCTTCCCCAACTTAGTGCCCTCTAGAAATATTGGTTTGCTCACTCCAGTCCTGCCTGCTTTGCTAGTCTGGAAGGGTGGCAGGGATCTGGAAGGTCGCCGAGGATAGCAGGGCTGCTTTGCTGCCGCTTTCAGAGGTTTACGGCACTTCAGCACTCTGGAGGACCATTCTAGGGACGGTTCTGTATCCGGGCTGTTCCACTTGTTCCTCTTCTGGCAGCAATCGTCGTGTTTTCAACTAGGCTTTTCTAGTGGGCGTGGCTTCTCCTTGCGAAATCAAATCCAAAGCGGCCTGCTATGAATATTAATCAAACCCTCGACCAATTACAGCAGGCTCAGCTGTTTCGCCAGCTGAACTCGTACAGAAAGTTTTGAGTTTGGGGTGGGTTTTTTTTTTCCGCTTTGGGAAAGAGTTCAGCGCTCGAGCAGTGCCTGGAGCGGAGCTGCCGGACCGAAGGCAGTTACCGAGCTCTTTCCAGCTCGAACTACCGCGCAAGATGAGCGTAGCAGTGGAGGAAGCTGCCTTGCCGTCCATCTCCACCTTTGCCGGTTTGGTGCCGCTGGAAGAGAGGCGGCCCGAGATGGTACGGGAGCTATTGGCGGAGGGAGTTCTTCGGGAAGCGAGGACTTGCGATGTCTCAACTCAGGGAGCGAGTGTCGTCTCACTGGAGACGCGCACGGAGGATCTTTACAAACGTTGAAAAATTGAAAGTAGATATAAAGAGTGTGAATATCTCTGGCAGGAGCTTCGGGACCGGCCGGGCAATTTTGAACAGAGGAACGCAAAGGTTCTTTTCTCCGGCAATTTTCTGTTCCAAATTGCCCAGGGTTGCTTCCCCACTTTGCCGTCTCTCCTTCTTGGTCTAGATGTGCGTAGCTATCTACACGCGCCTGTTGCTCTTTTCGCTTGGGCTGGGGACTGGAAGGAGGCGCGCAGATGTGCGGCAAGCAAAATCGTTTCTCAACCGCGTTCTTGAAAAGCTGTCGGAAAGGCACAGTTTAGGAGACCAACGCTAAACTAGGCTCGTAAAGGGAAAGTTTTGGAGTTTGTTAATCTGGAGCAAAGTTTTTTTTTTCCCCGACAACCCCCTGCCCTGAGCAACGGGGTTGGCGTGTTGGCAGCACCATTCTCAACTTATCCGAGGTGGACGAGTTTATTAGTTTATTCTGGTCCTGGTCCAAAAGTACGTGCGGAGACTAAGCAGGGTGGAGTTCCTGATCGGGCTGATTTGATGTCCCAGAAAAGTTTGTTGCCATAATTGGCGGAATCCTTTATCTGGAGTCCCAACTCCATACATAGCTAAGCGTCGTCGGAAACGACAAACCTGTTAGTAAAGATTCTTAGGCTCGCTTAAGAGTTTCGTTTTAGGTGAAAGCAAGTTAAGCTGGGCGTCCGAATTTTGCGGACCTCCTTTCCTTTTTTTAAAGGGGATTCCTTGCACATCTTTGTGGGCAAAAACTCATTTTGCCTTTTCAGGTTTATACAGAAGAGTGCTGAGAAATGTGTAGGTTCGAGTTTTGCCTTAGCAAACAAGAGAGGAGTATTCTTGTAAACGCCTCGGTTGGGCTCGGAAGGGATTCAGGTCGAAGTTCCCTTGGCGGCAGAATTAAACGGATTTCGGCAAAGGGCGCTCAGCTCCGGGCATCTGTGGACATTCAAGACAAGTCCGGGGCGATCGCTCCGCGCCCGGCGCGAGGGGGTTCGCGCCAAGAAAATATCGCGGTGGCGGTGCGCAGAGGGCGGGACTGAAAAGTTCAGGTTAATTTACTCCTCCATCATTCCTCGGGGGTGGGGAGGTAAGGGACAGCTGATTCGGAGTTTCTTCCGATCCCGCGGTCGGGCCGGTGCGGGGTTCAGAGAAGCCTGGTCTCCGGGGAAGCAAGTTAGAAGGCCAACGCTGGGGCTGCTCGGAGAGAAGAGCGCGTAACCCGTTTTTCAAGTTTGGGGGTGCTGTTACTAATGCTGGGATTTGACTCCCGGGCGTATTAACTCCTTCCACGCGGTAACTCCTGCTCTTCCCTCCGCAGAGGCTGGCTCCTCCTTCCGTGGAAATTGCCACCGCCATCAAGAGGGAAGCCGACGAGCTAGGTAACTTCGTCGACCTGGAGTTCATCCTGGCGCACACCACCAACGGGCAGCCCAATGGCGGGGTGGGGCCCGCGCATCCCGGCGGCAACCCTAACTACCCTTTGCCCGAAACCCCGGAGAGCTGCGGCACCACCTATGATAGCGATAGTTCCAACTACCAGCCCCCTAACAAGTTCGCGGCGTCTTACCTGCCCAGCCCCGGGCACAGCTACGTAGCCGAGCTCTTTACTCAGGACATGCAGCAACCCCCTCCCTCGGTGGGTCCGAGCCACTGCGAGCTCCAGCGGCGGGAATACACCGAGCTGCGCGCCCCGGGCTTGGCCCACCCGTCCTCCGGCTTGCCCGGGGGGCTGCCCTTAGAGCACCTGCGCGTCAAGCAGGAGCCGATGGACGGTCACTCCTGCATGCTGAGCGGCCCGCCCGAGTGCCTGGCGACCGGAGCCCTGGACCACAAGCCCCTTCTGATGCAGCCTCTGCTCCAACACGCGTCTTCAGGTTTCCCCGGCGAGCAGATGGGCTCGGGGCCCCAGTGCCAGATGGGCGGCGATCTGGGCGCGCAGATGGGGGCACCCCAGCATTACCCGCGGCCTGCCCACCTCTTCCAGCCCAACTTCGCCGGGCAGATGCAGTCCCAGTTCCACGGACACTTCAGCGTCTTTCGAGAGCCTTTGAAACCGCGCGCCCAAGGCATGCCCGGGCTGCTCGTCACGCCGCCCAACTCGCCCGTCTTGGATTACTACGCCCCGATGGGTCCCCCGGAGGAATGCAAGCCGAAAAGGGGTCGCCGGTCTTGGGCCCGCAAACGCACCGCCACCCACAATTGTGAATTCGCCGGCTGCGGGAAGACGTACACTAAGAGTTCGCATCTCAAGGCGCATATGCGGACCCACACGGGTAAGGGCATCGGGCTGGGTCTGGAGGGGCATTGGGGGGAGGGAGACTTCTCCGGCTTGGTGAATATTGGGGAGCAAGCCTCTTGGGAGGGGGTTTACCCCACCCGTGATGGGATAGAATGCAAGGGGACGAGAGGCCAGCCCCCCCCCCCCAAAGTTAGAAAGACATTTGTAGAGGGGACTAGAGCTCTCCGGCTGATCTGGCTCTGCCTCAGGGTTATGCTACAGGACCTCCGGAGTTAAGTGTCTTCCAAATGTATTGCTTTTACTTGTCCAAGAAACCCGAAAGTTAAGCAGGACAAGGCAGCTGGGCCGATGGCTTTATTCAGCCCATCGAATAGTTTTAAATAGACCACTTATGGATTTGAACTCTATTCAAAAGTAACTTTCTCTCCCCCGTTCAGTGGGGCACTGTCAGGAAAGTGTGTGTTAGCCTGTAGCCCCGAGGATTTTAACAATAATCTGATGATCAGATTGGCTGTACGGATTACTTTTCTCCTCATTGGGGTGGGGGAGAAGAGAGAGATGGGTGGAGGCAGGATCGAGAAGATGAATGGTGCAATCTAGAGGCAATAAATTCAATTCACCTCGATAGCCTTTCCTAACGGGAATTTAAGGAGTCTCCACACATTTTGTGCTGTCTGTGTAATACGAAAAGGAAGCTTTGCACTTCTTTTCGCCAGGTTGGAAAGTTCACTAAACTTTTTTTTTTCACTCTTTCCCAGGTGAGAAGCCTTATCACTGTACCTGGGAAGGCTGTGGCTGGAAATTTGCACGGTCAGATGAACTGACACGCCACTACCGCAAACATACAGGTGTCCGGCCTTTCCAATGCCAGCTATGCGACCGTGCGTTCTCTCGATCAGATCATCTGGCCCTGCACATGAAGAGGCATGTGTGAAGCATGGCTGGCTCCTTGGGGCAGTGGGGTGGACTATGGTAGGGCTGAAGAAGAGGGGAGGGGGGAATGCAAGAGACTGAGGACTCTATTTATGAAGGGATGGAATATTTTCTTATTGGACTAGCTAATTTATGTATATATTATTGAAACATTTTAATATTTAAAGAGGAATTCTATTGTTATGGAAAAAGTATGTATTTAAAAGTGAATAGTTACATAAATCTGCCTGCTGTAGGGACTGTAGTTTAAGAAAAATTGTCCTGAAGGTTTGGTGTGAGCAGTGTAAGTGTGGCAGGATTATCTCCAAACCCTCAGTGTACAGCCATAATGCAGATCCCATCTTGATTGTCTCAAGCTGTTCATACAATTTTAATTATTGTTTGCTTTATTACACAATGGTATTTTTTTTTCTTGTCATGTTAAAAGGCTCTGTTTTATAAAACTACTTTCTAAAGTAGACCTTGAAATGGGGAAAAATTAAAGTGGGTGGAAATACGAATCCCTTTTTGTTCTTCAAATGGGTAGTACAAAATAAATGAAAATCCACACATAACCACCCATATTGATTTATAATATGTATAATTAATTATGGATTAAAGGCAAATATTTAAGCTTTTTTGACCTCTTAAAAGTAATGTTCATTTTTTTTTGCCAACCTTTTAGTATTAGCTTTTTTTGGTATTAAATTTTTTTTAATGACGTTTTGTTTCAGCTGTAAAGTTTCCAGTATGGTCAATCTATTCAGACCAATAAACAACCTGTGATGATGTAACCCTTCTTAAAGCAAGTAACATCCACCAATAAGTCTCCAGCTGACAGCAGTGCGTGTTTTGGGATTATCCAACTGAAGAAACTAAAATGGCCACTTCCGGAATAGATTGTAAAATAATATATACTCTGAACAAAGACAAGAGTTGTGTTGGTAGGTTGTGCAAGCTATAGTGTCTAGGAACAAATGTTTTGCAGCAAAGTTCTGTGCTCAGAAGTAAAACTACAAACCCATACACTTCAGGTTCCCATCTTCTTTTTCTTGCTCAGGGATGTTGCCAAAGCAGGACCAAAAATTGCCTTGATTCACAATTCTGAGAGGTGGTAAAACCACTTGGTTATAAATAGAGCCTTGGAAAAAATGCCTTATGAGAGTAAATAGAAATAAACTGTGCTATTTCAGTGCTATTAACCAATGAAAGCCACTGTAAGTTACACGCCTATGCATGCTAAATCACCACTTGGTTTGCACATTGCAGGCCATAACTTGGTTTGCTGATATTGGGTTAGCGTGTTATATAAAAGTAGACATTATTTACAACCATGATTTATGGTTTATGTTTTCAACCAGCCAAGAACAAATACATTTGCAAATAAATATACGTAGTACTGCAATTATGATTAACAATGCAAGCCAGTTATATTGAATCAAAAATAAATCGGTTTGTCCTGTATCTTATTCCCAGATAAGCGTGCATAGAGTTACAGCTAAAATGTGGTTTTATATATATTAATTATAATACCTCAATGTGTTGTATAGGATTCAATCATGTATGGAAAAAGCCATTTGCTTTTTAACCACTGTGTAAATTTAACTCTGTTCTAATGCATATTAGTTTAGTTAATGAATTTTACTGGTGATGCCACTCCATCTCTCAGAACTGAAAGCACATGAATCTATGGCATTTTCTGAACTCTCTATTCATTTGCACAAACAAAGATGCCTTTAAAGTACTACAATAGTTTGTTCCAGAAGGCTAATGATTAATAGGCCATTGTTTTTAAACCATCAATAACTTTAGATGCCAGTTGAACCATTGAATTACTATTTTATGGACCTGTTCTCTGATGGGGGCGCTTCATTACACCCTCTGATTGTTAAATGATAAGACCCTTAAGGATATTTTTGTCTGTAAGTGGGGAACCCATATCTTGCTTCAGAACTCCTATAGCCCAGACCATCTAACAAGAGGGCCGAGACTGAATTGAGACTTATACCTTTTAAAAAAACCCTTAGGATCTTTCTCCTGACTTTTATCTGTGTCATTGGTGATACCCTCTAAAGCATAGGTGTCAAAACTCGCCGTGTTACATTGCTGTTTCGTGACATTTTTCCCAGTTTGACACCCCTGTTCTAAAGGATGATCATCAAGCCAGGTACTGCTGCAGCTGCATTTTTTTTTCTAAATGGCTTTTGGATTTTATTTTTATAAAGGGCATTTTTTGTCCATTTCTGCTATACTTGAAATGTTCTTTTTGGAGGGGAAAAAAAGACCTCTTAATATGTAGCTTATGCAAAAAAAAAAAAAAAAAAGTTGTAATTCTTTTTTAAAATGCTGTAAATGAATATGTGTGTTTTGTTTTTTAATTGCTCAGGTCCATTTAATAAATGACCTCAGCTCTGGTATGTGCACTGCACCTGTCTGTACAGTTTGTGAATTACCAACTCCCATGCAGAATGTTTAGCTTTATGTATATGCATACCTAGAAATATTGTTGATCCAATATAAAATAAATAAAATATAATAAAAAGCAACCACTTTGTTTCTGATGTGATTGGAAAGAAGGTCTTTACATGAGAATAGTGACATTATTTGTTTAAGAGATGTCTAAGCACCATCTTTGAGGGCAAAGGCAGCTTTCATATTTAAGAACTAAATGTAAAGCTATTTTTTTAAAAAATTAAATACATAAAGAACAATCTAGTTACAAAGTTCAATATACCAGTAACAGCAGCAATGCTTCAAGTAAATCAGGTTGAAGAAAAATGTATTTAAGAACTTTTACAAAATTCTTAAATTGGAGATATACATTGCCAGATCTTATTTCACAATATAAAGGAATCTTATCATGTGCCGTTTTTCAGTAACTACACCTCTTTGGAAGACAGTTTTATCCTTTTGTTTTGTTTTGTTTTAAAACCTATTCTCTTTTCCTTATGTGGCTTAAGTAAGTCAAATTCAGGAGCCAGTACTGTGATCCTGGCTGTAGAAAGGACTTTTAGATTCTCAGTTTAAAATGATCCCAAGTTTGTCAGTGTGTTCATTTTTTGAAGCTGGGCACTACCCATCCCTCTGGCTCAGTTGAGTTCCTGCACTGGATCTACTGGTCGTTTCACTCCTCACTAAGTACTGAGGCTTCCTTTTAAATTAACATGGGGTGACTAAGCTTTAGCAGGTCTTTCTCCATCTTCTCTCCCTCCCACAGCCACTTATGTACTTCATTTTAGGAGCCAGACTTGTGTAGACTTGATGTGGCATTACCTACACTGGCAAAACCGATTATCCCAAACTATGTAAGCTGTGGCTAGAACTGAGGACTGGAGAAGTTTCAGCCACATGCAAGAATTGCAAGCCACAATAATCTCCTTCATAATTCTGCTGGAGAAACATTCTTTTCTTGTTTATTTCTTAGGTGAATGCAGAACGGAGGAGTTTCTGCATTATTGGCCACAGTAGTACAGAAATCTTGAAGAAATTCTGAACCCCTAGTTAGAAATGAAATTGAGGCAACTATTTTGTAGAATTTGGGCATTGGGCTGGTAAAGTGTTAAGTGACACGGGCAAGTTTCATTTGTTGTGTTGAGTGCAGCATGTATATATCAAGCAACATACCTTACACAAAGGTATACAAAGGCAGCAACAATATAAACTTTCATGAAGTTCAGTCCACTACAGCGAAATTAACATATTTGCCCTTCTGGAAATGAACATAACCTTCAAAGATTTGTTTTCACTTTCCTACTACAGAAAAAAGATTCAACATAAGCTGACAATATAAAAGCATTTTATTTCTCATGCTGGAAGGTAGCTATGACTCATTAAATCTAGTATAGACTTGAGTTTTGGGTATGGTTAACCCACTAATGCATCATTTGGCTTCAACAAGCTACAGTAGTTATATTTCTATGTGTACTGTTAATTTTATACTTTGGGGTGGGGGAGATTCATACATTTGGTTCAGGGTGGAAATCACTTCCTCCTATGATAGAATCTTAACAAACATGCAACAAAACTGGATAAAACTCAAATGATTTTGTAGAATTCTTGATTAAAAAAAAACAGACCAAGGTTTTGGATGATTTTTCCAGGGTTTTGTTCAAAAAAGCCTTTGTAAATGGCTGAGAACATGAAGTGAATGTCTGGTGAATTGGGAAAGCTATACTAGATGAGCTTTGCGTGTGTATGAGTAACTGGCTTTGGTAAAATGGTGTTCCTAAGCTACTCCAAACATCCTGTAATGCTGGAAAAGCTGGATCCAGAGTTTGTCTTCTTCATCGTCTTGGAATAAAAATCTGCAGTGTAAGATTGATTTGAATCTTTCTGAGAAGTAGAACAGGATGTTTCAGCCTACATTTCACAACTGCCACTTAGACCTTTGGTTGTCTGTTGTTCTGTTCAGATAATATTTGACATCAGTATCCTAATGAGGGAGAAGAGGGCTAAAACAATGCTTTTTACCCTTTAAGGCAAAATGATTATGTTCCATCTGCCCAATATTGTCCGTAAATAGCAAAGACATGCACATACCAATAACATTAATAAAAGCAATAAAGTGGAAATACAACTTAAATGGCACAGGGAAAAGAAAAACAAACTGTATAAAAACCATCATATCAAACCTAGCATGGATACTTTTAATTTCAAAATTAAACCGTGATGGTAAGACTTCCAGGAAAAGGAATATCTTAGCCTGATGCTGCGTGAGCTAAGTCCAGCAATCTTCAGGAAGGCTTCTCCAAGCCAAGGCAGCAACAACAGAGGGGGTTTTCTAATCATATTTGCTGGTGGTGAAATCTAAAGAAAGCCTCTAAAGCAGTGTTTTTCAGCCCCCAGCAATTCTGGGAGCTGGAGGTCACACATCTTAATATTGCTGAGGTTGAGAAATGATGCTTTGCACGTTTGCAGGTAGACCCTAAGTTTAGCCTGCTGGAAATTGCTATCATTTGGGGATCTTGCACTTTTACCTCTCCTGCAAAATAGGGGCTGCTTCAGAAAGTGTACAATATCAGTGTTACTGAGGTTAATAACATTGTGTTAGAGGGAGGAAAATAGCTTTCCGTACAGACAAAATGTGGAGCGGAAGTAAAGCTTTACCAAGAATGTTCTGATGAGTTCTTCACAAGTGTGCCTTTGGCACTTGGTGTCACTCTGGAACTACTGTCCCTGTTCTGAGAGCTGATCAGAGAAACAGGGGGAAAGAGAAATTCCCTGAGCAAGTCAGCCAATGATGTTCGAATCTAACAGGCTAGAAAGTATGAATCTCTTAATAATTTGATCCTACAAAACGGTAAATGGGATCTGTGGTTTTACTTGCTGGACTACTGGCAAGGAATGAAACAGGGAGGGAACCAGCTCAACCTGTACTAGTAAGACCCATTGTTAGCTAGATTTGTGCATGGAAGGAAATGAAACTATTTGTACAAATATAAAGACAGCCTGGTATTCTACGTATAGTATATAGTACTAGCTGGGGTAAATATAATGGGTCTATATTCTAAGTTAGATTCTAAGGAGCAGTATTTTTAGCTTATGATACAAAATCTTAACACTGGAGTGATGCTGAAGAGACTTCCTCTAAATTTAACAAAATATTTTTTATATGCCCCCTTGTGCTGATTTTCTGTAATGCGTTTTCACATTAGTTGGATATAACAGGGCTAAAATTGCATAACACCATTAGCTTCCAAAATCCATTATGAGGCAATCTTTAATTAAGTTTTCAAAAGAGTTGCAAGCTTTGAATTTCAAAAAAAACAAGAAAATGTAAAATCCAGAAAAGAAAAAAATAGAGGAGAAATATTTTGATATCTGAGTCATATACTTTTTAATTTCCCAAATTAAAGTTGTAATCATGCACCTTAGTCTCCCCTAACTAAGGGGAGGATAGGAGCTCTGATCTGATACCTCTGAAGAGTTCCAGGTTAAGATAAGGTACATCTTGTTCAGTTATTTGAAAATACAGAATTCTGCGAGTGAGATGGAGGTTCCTAAATTTATTAAGTAAATAAATAGGATTGCAATGTTACTATGATTGTGATATGGAGGCAGAAGATGAACAAAGGAAGGCAGATTGATAAAAAGAAAGCACTAATTAGTGTGAGCCATCTAACTAATTATTGTTTCATTTGTGGAATCTTATATGTGCCAAATGATTAGGACATTAAACCCAACATAGTCTTTGATGGAATCCAAAAAGATCTTTCTATAGAAATGACTAATAAAGTTCAGAGCAAATAACAATAAAGTAATACACATTAGATTAGTATATTGATGAAGGTGTTGTTATTGTTAAAGGACCGAACAGGACCATCTAGCTACGATAAAGATCTTAAAGTTATGAATAAAATGTTACGATGACAAAGATGATGATTTTGTGAGATTTATATCTCACCTTTCCTTCAGGACCTCAAAATACTGCACACAATACTTGGCAGGTGGTTCAAGAAACATATGTAAGATTTTTATAATCTTCTCCGCACATTCAGCATATGGAATTGTCTGGCTCAAGGGAAATTGCTTGGGCCATGATTGAAGATAGCTTTTGAAAGAGACCAGAAGATTAATGGTAGATAAAGCCATCAGTGGGTGCTAATCAAAAGGGGATCTCCAGCTACCACAACAGAGGAAATGATAATGGAAAGGAGAGAGAATAACAAGAGAGAGCCTCCTGAGTAGGTTTCTGGGAGGCCTTGTTTGGGAAACTCATACATGCATGGATAGTCCCTGTTTTCTGAAAAACCGAAGTGGCATTACTTTCCTAGTAGGTTCTTATTTTCTTTATATTTTCTTATTTACATTCCCATTAAATTTCCTTCCCTGGTTTGGCAATATTGGTCAAACTGACTAGGAATTCAAGGACTTAGCGGCCAACATTTGGATGGCCCAGAAGAAGAAGGTTTTTAGCTGAGATTTTATTTCATTGTCACTAACATAAGTAAATTCTGTTGACCATTATTTCAGGCATTGCTTCACCTTTCCATAACCCCCATTTTCCTCTACATTATGCTTTTATTGAAAATTAAGCACAGACTCAACATCCTATTTTTTTTTCTTCTGTTAGACCTCAGCTGAACTATCCTGCAACTTCAGCCCTGCTAACCCAGGAGTCTCAGTGTGCATAGGTTGTGATATCAACCAGATAAAAGACTTTTTATAGGGAAATCTGACTCAGAGTGTGACTGATGTCCGATAGTATGAGATATGAATGCCAGGCAGCAAGAAGGAGCTGGAATTATCACTGCCCTGTGGACTCAGGTGCCCAAAAGCAAATGTTTCCTAAGGGTGGGGCTTGCCTGTCCACTGGAATATGAGTGATAACTGTGATTTAATAATCTCAGTGTTCAGGTTGTAATCTAAGCAGAATTATAGGACAGTGTGCAAAACAAGAAAAAGTGGCAAAGATCAGATTTGGGCATACATTCAAATGTATGGCAAATTGCATTTTCTTACACAGATGTTCACAGAAAGCCTATCAGTATAAAACTCAAAAGATCTGAAGTTGGTATGGATATAACCAGTGATATAATATGAATGA